AAGCCCAAAACAACCTCCTCTTTTCTCCAATCATTAAGAAGAGTTGGGGTTTTCTTTCATTCTGCAGAAAAGGGCTTGCTGCTCAGAGGTTTAATTCTTCCTAGGTCAACCTAAAGTGTTTCTACAGCTTAAACAAGCACCACATACAGAATACATTTAATCAGCATGCATTCCAACATCCTAAGCTGTAAAGCAAGGCAGGTAAGTTTAAGTTCTACTAACAATGATCAGATGTGGCAGAGACCTAGCCCTAGAAGACAGTTATTTTTTCCACTAACAATCAGTATTTAAAATGGAACAATGACCAGTGTGGTAAACAGCCATTTCTCCCATTTCTTGCCAAACTTCTTCCCAGAAGAATACAAGCTTATTTGTGAAATGCTGTGTTAGATCACCCTGGAAGTATCACATTATTTTAAGTATGTTGATCAGAGCTAGGAGTTTGACAAAAAGACAGTACTTAATGGCTCTGCACTGACCTGAGGATGTCAGCTGCACCATTTGCTTCTGTAGCAGCTACTTGCAGTAGCTTAAGTTTCTACAGCAGAGCTAGACTACAGGTGGCAAGGCAAGACCCACACTTCATAACAGTAGCCAGCCTTGGCAGTGGACAGAACAGCCACAGTGTCTGGGATGGAGAAATTTCCTTTGAAACTGGATCAGGTGAAAGAAAGAATATTTAACCCAAGATTTACCCCTCAAGTCAGTCAATGTGACCAACCTGGAAGAAGGCAAGTGAAGGACGCACCAACAGCAGCACTTCAGGGCAAGACAGACTGCATCACTTCCAAGTAGTTAATGTAAAAATTACACAGAAGTGCAGGCATCCAGCAGTTTTCCTGTCTAAAGCAGAACGATGGTCCCACCACAGTCTTCAGAAGCTGACCATAAGAGCAACAGCTAAGTCTCCTAGCCATACATAGGCTTTTCCCCCTCCCTGCTGCATGACACCACACAAACATACAGCTCTCAGTTCAAGGTCAAAGACTACCTTGGACCCAGAACACCTTTGGTAAAAGCAAAGAAAGTTTAAGGGCTCAGAACTGCAGTGAGAATTAGACAAAGCTGTTTTCAAAGTAGCTTTGTCATCAGAAAAGCAATAAAACTTAATCCAAAAATATCTTTGGCTATTTGTCAGCATTGGAAACATTATGGCGCATGTTACCAACCAATAAAAGAATATGAGCCAGAACACAGAATTGGGAAAACGAGTCTGTGGCTTCAAGTTTACTTTTTTCTGATTTTAGAAGTATTCTCCCTTCTCAAGATGAGTTATTTTTCAGTTCTTCCCACCCTTTTATTTATTCCTGTTCACATGTCTCCAAACTGGGGGAGGGAGGGAGAAGAGGTGGGAAACAAATACACAAACCCAAAAATGCACATGAATCAAATCCAAAGGCCTCTCCCCCTCACTGCATCCAAAAGTGTCCAAAAGGACCACAGTGAGAGAGATGACGATATCACCACCTCTGGAATACAAGTAGCAGCAATTAACACATTTTCACAATACAGAGATTTTCTTACCAGGGCTTTCTCAAATTGCTCTTTCTGAACAATACAATTTAAATGTTAAGTTGCAGTGAAAAGAACAAGCAGAACTACCCAAACAAGTGTTTCCAACAAGGAGAAAACAGCTCCCATTATACTGATGCCTTTTTCTTTTTTAATTAGGCCTAGAGCATTAGCCTTATTTTTCCATTCCATGAACAATATGGATTTGTCCCTACTGCTGCTTCAAGTTTAGGGATACATAAGCAATAATCATGGCAAGATAGAGCTCACCCTTTTTATATTGCTTTTAGGTCCAAATTAGTTGACAGACTCCTTGGGGCAAGAACCTGTTTATTTGTTACCTGCCACACTATGAAGTGATGTGGCTTCTGGTAAGCAGGCTTCTAGCTGTAAAGCAAATGCTTGTGTCACCACATGTGCTAGTTCCCAAATTAAAATAATCCATAACAGGTCTCCCTAAAAGACCAAGTACAGAAAGCAGAATTTCAAATAACAAGATAAAATGAACGTGCAGAATTCAGGCACTCAACTACCACAGGAAAAAGACTTGCCAGGCAAGATGCAAAGTCAGGGAGTACAGTGCAGAGAAACAGATACCTAGGGCTGAAAAACCATCCCAATTAAACACAGATACTTGCCTGTGGAGAAAGGAAACATGGTATGCTAACAAAATGCCCTTCACACTGAAACAGAAGGCAGCAGATCCACACCAACACAGTCTGCTAAGCTGCTCTCTTCCAGTACCCATTACGTTTTGGTACTGAATAATGAAAGGCAAATAAGTAACAAATTTGCTTACAGAGTTTCACTTTTTTAATACATACTATAAATGATCATTTCTTCCCTGTCTCCTGAAATACTTTAGGCTTCTTTTTACATCAATAATGGCTTAAAACAATTCCTTTCCTTTAATTACTGCAGTAGGCAACAGTAAGAAGAGGCTGAACAGAGTCAACTTTGCTCTAATATGGATGTAAGAAATACAAGCATTGTACAAAGAACGCTATCCAAGGAAAGTTTAAGTCTTATGTTAAAAAACTTAATGTGGTTAGCAGCAGTGATTTCATTCAATACTGTCAGAAGATCACTCATATCCGGGAGTAACTTCTTCCATCATTCCTATCTACCAAGACATCAGGCTTAAAAATAAAAGGTCACAGGAGTATTATCCAAAGATTTACTCCTTGCCATTGCAGTCAGAAAGTTCTGACATTTAAGATTACTTGAGAGTAAAGCTGTCTCTATTTGCAATTTGAAATGAGAAAGTACATCCTGCCTGTTTAAATTATTCTCAGACAGGTTGCCCAAAAAGATGATTTTAAAGATGCCCAAATGTGCATCAGCCTAAGGCCATATAGTACTTGCTTTCAGTTTCAAAGACCTCCTTTCATCTTTGAAGAATGGAATGTTGTTTACTGCTTAGGATGTTTTGCCATGTTATCATGAATGTATTACAAATGTTCTGCTTCTTCAATTAGTCTTTGTCAAAACCATTCTTTATTCCACATGAGGAGTCTTAAGCCCTTTATAAATCCTTCTCTGATATATTTGGACACTTAAACATCTAAATCTAAACATCCCTCCAAAGTTTGCTGCCATGCATAATTTCACAAAAAAGAAAAGAAGGTCTGCAGAGAACTGCTTTCTGGGAGCATGAAGCCTAAGTACTAGGTACTGGAAGAACGCAAGATTGCATGTGAGAAAAGTAGTTTCAGTGGCAGGATTGCTTCCACCTACTGCCCTTACAACTCAGTCTAATAAAGCAACCTATATGAGAAGCATCTTAAAACACAGCAGGTAAGTTTGTGGCAATGAAATACTGCCAAGGCTTACCGTCAGTTTGGGGCACGTTATGTCTGTGTTCTTTTAAACTGGCAATGTAAATAATGGATCACCACCTTTTAATAGCAACATGGTTATCTGTCTCATTCTGGCACAATCTTATGAAGCTTTTAATAAAGCAGACACACAGCAGACAATGAGAAATAACTGAAAAGTACCTAACAGGCAGACTTGTTAAATATTCAGAAACAAATCTGGCAATAATTATAGAAAACCACTACGAAGAACAGGAATAGTTACTCGATAGAAGCTCGGGGGAAGAGGAGAAAAGGATGGGGAAAGTCATTCTTGTGCTAGACTCATTTTTTCAAGTTTTTCCAGTGGTGTTACAAAAAAGTAGCTATACCTTCACCTTGATGTGAAAGCACACTAAAAAACTTCAAAGAAATAAAGAATAGCTGCTCAAAAGCTGGGAACGCTGCTTTCTGCAGCTTGTTAGGTACAGATTCCTTCACTTGCAGTAAACGAAGCATTCAAGGAGCTAATTGTGTCTCCATGTCATGAAAAAAAATAAAAATCAGAAAAACAAGTCTACCTCGGCTGCTTAGGCCTCTTGTCACAGTCCAGGCTGAGGGAAAACCTACAGGACAGATGCCACCATTGTCTCAGGTACACTGCAAATAACTGAGCTTCATACAAGGTCCTTCCAGACTACAATATGCAAATACGCTGGAGTGTTTTCAATCCTAGCATCTATTTTAACTTCCTAAGCCACAACAATGAAAAAGACTTAATGAAAAGGATGTAAGGTTTATCAAAAAAGGACAACTTTACTACCACTTCCTCCACAAGAGTTACTTTCCAGGCTTCTGCTAACTGTGCTTGGGTCAGCCGCCAACCAGCCATCCACTTGAGCAATATTAAGGCTTTATGAGAAAAAGGGGCAAAACTGGTAACAACACTTGAATGGCAGTCTGAAATACTCTTGTCCTGTCTCCAGCCAAGGTTACGGCCTCTTAACAGAAGTAGGCTGTCAGGCTCCTTGGAAAGAACTTCTACAGTCCCACAGGTTTCCCAGGTCCCAGAAACTTAATCTCCAACACAACTTTGAGAGATTTGTTCAGACAAAGATTTGTTAAAAGCACCTTCAAGGCAATTTTTAAATGCAGCATGAGCCAGAAAAGATAATCTGTCTTACTGCAGGAGCTGAATGGCCTAGCTTTATTTATTTATTGGTTGGTGGGGGATCTAGCCAAGGTGAACTCACAGTTCACTTGAGAAGAATGCCTATGCACTATGTGTGGAAGAAAGTCCACAGCCAAATGTGAAAGCAAGAGCCATTTCAAAAGCCATCCAAAACAGCCATTGTGAACAAAACTGAGGGGCCATGGCAACTAGCTGCTGTGAAAGATCACCATAGCTTTGCTACCCTCCCATGCAGATGGAAGTTCCTCTGAGCCATCATTTCATTCAGTCCTTTACACAGTGCTCTTATCCACAGTTCTTCCTATACACACAAGTAAACATCCCCATCAAATTTACCAGAAACAATCCTTTCAAGTATCTAACACACAGGCTAGTTTTCTTACAGTATGAAAACAGCCATTTTGTGTAAGAGAATCCTCACTTCTTCCTACAAGGAAAGATAAAAATAATTCAGTATGGAGATTCAGCACCACGCAAGTAATTGTAAGCCATCTACATACCTCTAGCCCAGATCCAACGTTTGCTGAATCCAGTGGTCTTTTCTTCCTTGATCCAATGGCTGCCAAAGCTGTGAGGTTGGCTTCTCTTTGTTGTATTTGTGCTAACTCCAACTGTTGCATCTAATTTAAAAAGAAAACACCTACATTAATTATGACACACAGTATTGTAAAGGTCTTGTTCTCTTTATGGCAACTTCAGACAGCTCTGCAGCCCCTACTGAAGGAATGTATTTCACAGGATCTTCTCCTGTCTTTCCAGACACTTTTGACAAATTCCAGTACTCATTCATGCTCAGAGCCTTGAAATGCTAACAACCCTATAGGTACCACTGGGTAAGTAACTCTTTTCATGGTGTCTGCATTGAGGTATCAACGCGGCCTTAACAGGAGCCTTGCTGCTAGTTCCTCAGCTCATAAGCTTTGCCATTTCTGATTAATAGAAAACATTGATCAGCACTGGTTTGAGGCAAGATCAGTATTAAAATTTGGAGTTACCAAGTTATTTGGGCATATTCTTAATTCAAAATCTCAATTCATCACTGCACAAGCAAGACCCCCAATTTCTTCATGCTGTATTACCTGAACCCAGCGCCCAATGTTGCTATTTTGAAGGATCTTACAATCAAGTGAACAGGATGCTGTCAGTTCACTTTTTCTCTTTTCTCAGAATACATTTGAATGTTTAGGCATACCTGAAGCAAGTTAGAGATACACTGCATGCATCTATTCTCACTCATCTCCAAAAGCTGTTCAACACACAAAAATCCTTAGAAACAACCCCTCAGGTAAACTTGGAATGGGAGAAAACCCCATAGTCAAGGGGATTAAGGAAAAAAAAGTTTTATGTCTGAATTCCAGGTACATACTCCTTCATTCTATTTGATACCAGCTGCCTTAGAGCTCAAACTAGTCAAGTCTGCTAACAGATTTAGTAGCTTGGATTGCCCATCTTAATAATACAACCACATTGCTTTCAGATCTGCTAGCTGTCCCACTTGGAGCATGGGTGGAAGGCAACACTTTTCTCTGTAGAGAAGGAAGCTTTTCTGTTTACTCTGGTTGAGGTTGTCCTTAAACATAAACTTCTGCATTTGAAGACAACCTTTAGGTGATCTGACATACAATTAGAGCAGCTCCTTAGCTCGTGCTCATGCTTCAGTTATGAAAACAACACTGTTTGCGAGTCAGCTTTGATCACACTACATAGGCTTTTACTTACAGAAATGCAGTGGCACTTTTTCAGTGCTAGATACCGTCATTCACTTACCAGACAACCTATTCTTACTTTTGTGTGCAGTGAAATCACTTATAACCTTATTTATCAGATTTAATTCCATTCTGAGTGGGGGTTGGTTTGGCTTTGTTTCAAAGCATGTAGTATTGCTTCCAATAATATTTTAGAGACTGTAAGGTTTTATATCAGTTAAACTTGAAAACTTCCGGCGTTCTGCAACTGTCTGAGGCTACCTCCAGCCAGCCTACTTGCATAAAATGCAAGCTAGGAAGATATGGCAAACAATCAGGGATGGGGGGAAATCAGATTACATCCAAAGTATAACCCAAAACTTCACAAACTCTGTGAAACACTGAGGCTTACGAACTATTTTCATGTGACAACTTCATCATTCCCTAGGTTGATTGGGAAGAATAAAACACCAAGATTCTTTAGCAGAGGTATGTGCTGACTTCCAGCCCCAGCTGCCCAGGCCTCCAACACCTGCAGCCACCCTGGCTTACAGTCAACTACAGAGCATCCCTGTAGAAGTACACCTTTCTACTAGCAATGTAGTTCAGTCATCACAGTAGATGCATGTACACCACAGTTTCCTTGCCAAGAGAAGAGGTGTTACTACATGCCATGCACATGGCATTCCTCTAGGGGAAATTTCCAAAAGGCTACAGTGGCAAACAAAGCCAGAAGGGGGAAGATTATTTGCTTTACTTTTTAAGAATCATTACACTTAAAATGAAGAGGACTTTTAAAATCATTTAACTTAAAACAATAAAATAAACCAGAAACCTTTATTAGCCTAACCTTATGCTTCCATCCCTGGGAGTCATTAGAAAACATATTCCCCCCCTCCATCAACCCTACGAAACACATAAAACCAGGTCAGTACAGTTAAATATGTCAAAAAGGGGTGGTTACTGAACATTTGGTCACTGGCTTAAAAAGCACTGAAAGAAGACCACATCACCTTTTTTACAGCTGATGCTCATGGGCAGCCATGGTAAAGACTAAGGACAAGGGACTTTTTACAAGGGCAGGTTGTGACAGAACAAAGGGAAATGGATTTAAAACTGAAAGACAGGAGATTTACATTAGGTATTAGGAAGAAATTCTTCACTAGGAAGGTGGTGATGCACTGGCACAGGTTGCCCAGAGACGCTGTGGCTAGCACTGCTCACGGCCAGGCTCGATGGGGCTTTGAGCAACCTGGACTAATGGAAGGTGTCCTGAAACTGGATGATCTTTAAGTTCCCTTCTAACCCAAGCCATTTTGATTTCATGGTAATACCAAGGGGCTTTGGGCTGGCAATCAGCACAAGGTACAGGGGACTGAGTGGGTTGAATGCCTCTTGGCAGAGTGGCAGAATGCCCCTCTGGGTGAGGACTGGGTAGTGCGCCCAGGCACCATCCCCATTTACCCCACACAATTCAAGCTGGCAAAGCATGCTGTTGCCAGACACCCTGCAGAAGCAAGCACTGCTGCTGGAGGGGCAGTGCTGGCAGATAACCAGACAGGATGGCACTTGGTGAACAGTAAGGAAAAGATGACCTTTTCAGAAACAGAACTGGTGCACCTTTGACAGTTCCCAAGACAATACTGGAAATGCGTGCCATCATCTACTCCCCTCAGTACATTTTCAACCTTGCAAACAGTCAGAGGATTTTTCAAATCGGGCAGAATCTCACCATGTTTTTAGAGCAAAAGGAAAAAAGAAACCATAGTCTTGTTGCATTCTAGGCATTCTAGGCATCTCGGGGATTTTTCTGAGAACCTAATTAAGACAAATGAATTTAAACACTCAATCTCCATAATGGACTCAACAGATCCCCACTAAGCAATATGGGCAGACATCCAAATTACACTGCTGAAGCCAGCAAAAATAATTTTTTCCTCAAGTTTTGTTCCATTAGATAGTGTGAGATTAAATGTCCAAACATTGTGTGAGCAGTTAAAAGCACAGGATCAGGAGAAGACAAGCAGATAACGTCAAGGGATACCCGAGGATTCTGGCTGGCTAAATACTGCCAGATTTTCCTAAACAAGTTTAGGAAAGAGCAAGAGCAACTATGTAAAGTCAAATCTGCCTTTAACAGTTTTGTAGCACACACGTTAGGGCAGAAAGAGCACTGCAGCAAGTGAAAGACAGTAAAAGTAGTATATATACTTTACTAAAATATATCATAGAGAAGCTGCATCTAGTATTGTTTCCCTTCCAGGGGCCAGTTTTATTAATATTGGTGCCTCTGACTAAAATTGAATATAAACTGTCATACCCAGGTTTGTATCTTGAAACTAGATGATTTTTTTTCTCTTAAAGATAGAAGTGTGTAATGGCAACTCAGGAGGAGCAAGGGGAACTTGCACCATACATCAGACCCGCAAACTACCAGGTTTCCCCTCAATCCAACCTAGCTGGATCTGCTGAAAGATGCTGCTATTCCACCACAACACAGGAGTCCAACACACATTCTTTTCAAAATTCATTCCTCAAGATGGGCATTGAGAGGGGAGAGTCTCCAGGCAAGAAGCAAATGAATCTTCATGCTCCTTCTCCCCCCTTTCTTATTTTTACATATGCTAAGAATTGCAGTACAAAGAGTTTTAAAAACTTGTGTATAAAGATCAAATTGCTATGAAAACGTCTCAGAACTTGTAAAATAGTCTTTGTTGCTGCTGGCCTTTTTAATAATAAAAATAGGGTTTAAAGTCTGGTCTTGCAGCAAGCTGGAATCTCTAGGGTGACACAATAACCGTTTTAGTTAATCTGACCTGCAGCACAAATCAAGAAATAAGGTATGATTTAAAGTCCTCCCTTATAGTGAAATGGCATTTGCAGCATGGCTGTAATCACACAAAATGAAAGGTTTTAAAATTGACCTCTCTGTTCTGTACTCAATCCTCTACTGAGAAAAATATTTCTTTTCCTGCTCACGGAAATTCTATCTCACTTATGTCTCACACTCCACATTTCAGAAAATGTGCAAAATCTATTTTTACTACTACACCAGTGACATTTTTGTGGCATTTTAATATTAAAAATTAAATTTCAAGTTCCGTGAGAAGACAAGAAGTACTTCAGCTGTGAGATGCTGAGACTTTTTTTTAAAGCAATACTGCAAGTTAGTTTTAAACTCTACCTGTTAGGAAGTGCATGGTATGTGATTGGTCACATTACCAGAGCTCCGTTAATTCAAGTCATGGAAATTCTGCAAGATTTTCCCTAAGCATTGTTTCCCTAACAGGAAGAATCCCTTCAACACAACTGAAGTATTTGGTATAAGCTTTCATAGAAGACAAAGCAGATTAAACCTTTGCTCTCTAGATCCTCAAGAACAGTTTTATTGGGGAAGGTTTACCTTTAGAAAAAGAGGTATGAAATTAAGCATCTGTATTAGCCAGGGCTCACAGAGCAGTAACAGGACTGGGGTTACAGAAAAACCAAAACAGAAGGCACTTGTCCAGCACAGTGCTGGCAGACAACATACATCTGAAGAAATTCATACCATTGTCCACTTATACAGGAGCTTCAATACACAAAGTGCTAGGAAATAAATGAAGAGATTTCTTATCTCGACTTAGAATCCTAGGAATTTATACTTAAAAAAAATAGTCTTGGCAATGCAATAACAAATAAATACGGCAATATGGATGCAAATGAGCTCAGAAGAAATGCTGGTGAGACAGATGGGGAACCTACACACCACAGTTCTTGACTTGGTTATAATTAATGTAAGGGAAACACTAAGAAGTATATGTACAGGATACTGGGTTTAATATGAAGCAAAAAGTGGGGATGTCTCCACATATGACATTGTAGGCTGATAAGAGAATGGGACAGATTAAATAAATATTTAAAGTAATAGAAGAACTGACAGGAAAGGGAACCAG